CTGGAGCTGGATGGTGGGGCTGGGACGGGCTGGGCCTGAGGCCTCCATCTTTCCGCCCTGCAGCGCCAGGCACAAAGGAGCCGCCAGGGGTAGGCTGCGGCGCGCACCGGGCCCGAGCCCGGGCCGGGCGAGAAGAGCCGCAGCCTGGGGCAGGTCTGTCAGGGAGCGCCCGCGGGAGGAGGCCGGGCCTGGGCGCGGTTTGCGGGGCTGGGTCCGAAGTAGCGGTTCTCGGCCTGGCTCCCGGGCCCTAGCGCGAGCGGACAGGACCTGCGAGAAAGCCCGGAGCCCCGCGCTGCACCCTCGTGCGGCTCCGCTGTGGTCCAGCATCGAGAGAGCCGTGCGGGCTGGTCGCTGCCCGGGCGCCGGGGCTGTCCGGCTTCTAAGAGGGGTGCGGGTGGAGCACAGCAGGTAAAATGAAAGGAGGAGCTTTACTCCTGCGCCAGGGGCCTCGGGCTGTGTTATTGCGTTTAAGGTGGAAGCAAAAACAAACGTAACTTCATTGGAATGAGTTGACCTGCAGGACTGTGAAATGGGAGCTGTGTAGGCGGCAAGATTGTAGAAGAAAGGACGGCTGAATTAGTGAAGCATCAAGACCTTTAAAAAGTAGAGAGGGTCATTAACACCTGCGGACTGAAGAGTTTTAGAAGGGATCTGCTAGATTTTGATGAGCAATGAATTCAAATGACTCCCTCACTGCTGCCTGAACAGAAATGCTGCTGTCTTTGCCAGGCAGTTGGTTTTAAACTTTGGGCAGACCAGGGGTTAAAGGAGAGGTGCAACTACACCAGTGCCCCTCTGGATCCACTCCTGCCTGAGTCTAGCAAGGGGTGCCTTGAATCTAGAAAGGTTGAAGACCACTAGCCTTCAAGTACTGGAAGGCTAGATGCAGTACTCACAAGGTTTCTCTGTTATACATGCAAGTACAGCTAAATCGGGGGCAGATCCTCCCCTTTAGAGAAACTGGTTTTGTGAAGAAAGTGATCAGGATTTGGAAGTCGGTGCATAATACTTGTATTAGCCAGACCTACAAGGTCTTGGTCCATGTTCTATGGCCCTTGCTTAACACATTGCATTAAGATCACTTTACTTACTGTGAGCCCCATTGCTTTAATAGAATAGCTTAGAATAAATTATGTTCATTATATGCCATTAAAAAGGCAAAACAAAACACCCAAATTAAGCTCTCTTCTGTGTAACAGAACATAGAAATAAAGACCTTGATGCACCAAAATGCTCAAGGATGTGTTTAACCCAAATAGCATTTTAAAATCATTATGCTGCTTACACTTAAATGTGTTGGGGGTGTGGTGGTATGAAGCAAGACTGGACTACCTGATATTTTGGTTAGAAATATTATATAAACCCTACAAGTGAAGTATAACCTCAATAGGTCTTCCCGGGCCTGAAATTATATACCTCAAAATCCACTACCCTGGCTGGAAGGATATTCATTCAAAGAATGATTTCTAACTTCTCAATAGCATTTCAGAGGCTTTGAGAGAGAGCTTCCTGATTCACAAAAAAGAAGCTGTAATATATCAGGTTGCAATGAGTGTTCTGGTAGTATCAGATGATAGTGATTTAATCTAGGATCCTTCTGGGAACCTGAAAAAACCCAAAAGGATTTTTCTGAACTTATGCATACATTTTGATCAATGGGAGAGTCCTTTGAACTCAGAATCTAAAGTTATTTACAAAAGTGGCGCACTCATTACTTGGATATCCTTATAAAGCAAATTTCCTTCCCTGTGTTATCAAAAACATCTTAAGATTGTTAATTGACTAAAAGCTTTAAAGATAGCATTTATTTTATCACAACTTATTCTTTGTATTTGTGTTAATTTGGACAGTGAAGATGGGCTGAGCATCACCTCTTTTGATGGTGTGCTAGTGGGTGCGTCCACCTGAGATGCTTAGCACGTTGTGGCAAAACACATGCTAATGTAGAGTAGAATTAGTCTACTGCACGTTGTCACAAAAAGACCTACTGCGCAGTAGCGCTAGTTACTGCACATTTAATTAGTGTCTCATATTAGAGGTACTAAACTTAATGCCACATAACAACGGTGCATTAATGCTTTTGTAAATGTGCCCATTATCACTGAGTTTGTAGACTTCTGTTTAAAAATAACATTCCAGAAATGAGTAGGTTGAATGAAGTCTTCCCACATCTTTTTGTCCTATCCTAACATCATGGTTTCACTAGTTTTAATAGCATGAGCATAATCTCCGTTTCCTTGGTTTTTCATTTCTTGCTCTTGCTTCTATGTCATGGCTTGCTCACAGTGTCCTTTTGAGGTCCATTCGTGACACATGTTCAAACTACTCAGTTGTTACTTCTCAATTTTCTTATAACAATGTGGGGGTGGGAGAGGGGAAGAAAGGAGATCGTTATTTTGTTCTGGCTGCTTCCTTGTCCTTTCATAGTTTTTCTATAGTTTTGAAACTTTCACTGTTCCCTCTCCACTAACTTATTTCTTGCAGTCAGTATCTTTTGTAAGTTTTCCACAATTCCATCCTGTGCAACAGTATCAACAAAACAGCTGTCTCAAGTGCTAATTTTCATTTGAACTGTCTTTAGTTTTGGACTTGGAAATGCTTTTTGAATGTAGTAGTGACTGGCCTTTGTTCTTTTTCCCCCTCCCCTCTGCCAATTCCCATTATTTTAAACTAATCTTCCAAGATACAAGATCCCTCTCTGTGTCCCCTGCTCCCCCCACCCTTTTTCTAATTCTTTGTCTCATTAATGATCTTTGCCTTTTGGGCTGACATTTTTAATATTTTTACCATACTGATCCTGATTTCAAATCTTCTTGTTTTAAATCTTACTCTTCCTTATCTATCTTGTTACTTATTTTCTTTAAATTCTCCTTGGTCAGTGCTATAACATATCATCTGTGGATTTAATCTTATTTGTTGTTGTCTTGCATAGTGACTCCTCCCTTTTCATCTCTCTAGATCCTAAATCCAGTACTTCTTCCAGTGCTAAATTGGACAAATCTGGCAATAGTATCATCCTTATCTCAATCCCATGGTCACCCTGAACCATTACATCAGCTTCTTGCCTGCTGTCACGGTGTTTCTCAGCTTGCTACAGATATTTTTTTATCACCTTGATCAATTTCTCAAGGATGCCATATGTTCTCAAAACTTTCCATATCCTTTTTTTGCCAGATGCTGTTGAAAGGCTCTTTGAAGTGTAAAAAAAATATTGTAATCTGCTTGGTTTTGTTCTGTGAATTTCTCTGAAATGTGTCGTATCACAGATAGTTGATCCTGTTGCACTTCATCTTTGATTTAAATCCAGCTTGTTCCTCTGCAAGTACTACTACTACTACACTTTCATTCTCATCTGTAGTAGCTTGGTCAATGCTTTTCCCAGGACACTGTAAAAACTAATTGCTTTTGTAGGTGTTTGTTACACATGCTCTTGCTTTCTTCTTTATGAGCCAGTAATATACTGCCTAATATACTAATGCAGGGGGTTGTCAACTGGGGGTACTTGAGAAGGCCCTAGGGGGTATGCGCGGGCGGGCAGGAACAGAGTGCTGTCATGCGCCATCCTGCGCTGCCGTGCAGGCACCGCCCGACCAGCCAGATGCGGGGGGTAGGGGGAAGCTCTCACGCAGTGGGTGCTGCCACTCTGTATGCAGCTGCACACCGCCACCCCCCTCCCCTGCTCCGTGTCTGACTGCCGGGGGTACTCTGCTCCATGTCCAGCCGCTGGGGGTACACTGATCCAAAAAGGTTGAAAACCTCTGTACTAAAGTATTTACTCTTGTAAGTCTTGCTAAATAGTGTGCATTGCCTCTGTCATATTTCCTTGCCCATTCCAGCACCTCTGCAATTGTGTTGTTAACTTCATTGTGCCTTTTTCTTTGTCAAACTTGTCAAGGTCTTTCCTAGAACCATAGGAACTAGGGCTGAAAAAGGACCTGGAAGGATCCTGACTCAAGTCAGGATTGGCCATTTCTAAACTTGGTATACCTGTACCTTTACGGCTGCCTCTAAGAATCTTGGTGTCTCTTTTTCCTAGAGTGCACTGGGAAGCTTTTTGAGGATAATTTAGTTTACTGTTGTCAGCATGTTATTCAGATGTTTGGTACATTACTTTCTATAGCGTGCTCTGCTTACTCCTCCTCAGCTTTCTCACACTTGTCTTTCACTCCCAGCATCCATAACTCAAATGTCCCAGTCAGTTATTTTATCTTACAATATGCAGCCCCTCTTTTTCTTATGTTCTGCTTCCTTAAATTGTTCAGTTGTTCGTTTGCTTGTTTCTGCTTTCTAGTTCAATTTTCTGGTCAGTATATTGTGCTCTGCTGTTAAGTTTGCATCTTTGTTTTTATTTTTTTTTCAGTTTCCTATGCTGTCAGCCAGATGCAGCATAGTAGCCCAACACTTGTTCAGATGCTTTCATAATCCCATTTTTGTGTTGTTTCATGTCTCCCCAACCCCTACTGTTTCTTTTATCAAGACACATGCCCTTCCAGTTTGATCTTTAATTTTTCATTTTAAAACTCCCATCACTGATGCACCTTGTCTCAACACTTCCTGTATTGCTTTCAGTAGACCATTATAAAACATGCCAATTTCTTCTTTGGAGGGCTACTAAGTTGGGACCTGTACTTGTACTTCTGTTACTTAGCTGGATTAGATTCTAAATGTCACCTTTAACATGAACAGCTGCTGTAAGAGGCTAGATTGCCTTCTGTTTTAGGAATAATGCAACTCTGTTCCTGAGGTGTCCTATCTTGCCAGTCTCAATAGCCTGAGTTGACTTTTGGTGTAAATTCTTCTGTGCCTTCTGCTCTTATTTCACATATGTCAATAATTTCAGTCACAGTCCTTTCAGTGTTGTCCATCATTACCACAAGAGTTCTTGCTTTTACTGATGTTCTTACAAATACCTTATCCTTTGAGTCTTACCAGTTGAGTCTTTGCATATTACTGTGTCTCTTCTTTGCGAGTTTTTGTTTTTTCAGGTCTAGTCTTCTTGCGTTTACCCCCTCCCTCCTTGCTATTTTGAGTTATGAAATACTACTCTGGTTTAAATGGCTTGCAACCAAGATGGCATGAAGAATGGTAAGGAAAACAAAAAGGCATTAGATTTCTGTTATTGTTGCTATTAATTTGAGCCTTATTTCTTGGTTTTGTGGTCATCATGATGATCTGCAATGTTTCTATTCGTTATCTGCTGGTTTGCTCCGGTGATGTTGTCAGCAGTGTTTTTATTTCATAAATTGTTTTGCCAGCTTTTCCACATGGGACAATATTTTTCAAGGGCCATATGTGCCACAAAACCATAGAAGTCTGGAAGGGGATCTTAGGAAGTCATCTTCAACCCCGTGCTCAAAGGATCATCCCTATCTAAAAAATCCTATAGAAGTTTTTGTCTAACCTATACT